GAAGGCAACAGTAACTCAACTAACCACCCGATGCTTGGTTTTGGGGTTGGAAAAAACTGCTTCGTAATTGGACGTCTGTTTCTTCTGATGGTTCTGGCAGAATTTGGTGTAAACATAAAAGCATAGATTTACCTTGCTTTGTGTGTCAAGTCCATCCCTTTATGACCACAGTGTACAAATCTGATGTCTACTTCCAGCAAGACACTCAAAGGGCCTCCATAGATACCAGAGCTCAATCCAAAGTATTGCATTATAAATGTGTAGCTCATAAATCTGGGGAGCAAACCAGCTGTAATATGTGATGCTGTCATGTCAATATGGACCAAAATGGAAAAGGAAGATTTCCAGCACGTTGTTAAATCTATGCCAATTAGAAGTCTAGCAAAACGTAACTAATAATGTGGCCAGTGAGTGTATATTCTGTAGTGCCCTCTTGTGCTCAGCTATGGTGCTTTTTAAAGAAAGCAAGCTGTCACATGAAAACGTTTAATAAACCATAATTATAATATGTACTGATGTACATAAAACGGTTTTACAAATATAGACTTAAAACAACAGATCTTTTCCACAATGGAAACATACAGAGGGACATCACTGAAGGCCACTCAAGTGCCTTTTCCTCTATTCATCGGACAATTTTGCTGAAAATGTAAAATTTATAAAATTGACAAAAGAAACTTTTTCTTTAGAATATTATTAAAGGAAATTAAACATCTTTTTGAACCGTATACAGAAGGAACTAAACGAAAACCCAAAGCGGTGAAAACATGAAGTGAAGAATGTAAAAATGAATCTTGATACGCAACTTCATGTGACATGTGAACATAAATACAACCAGAACGGAGGCAGCATTAGAGTGAGAGCCGACCACTGGACGGGGTAAAAAATATACACGTACATGACGTTACTCTGCCTCGTCTCCAGTCACGTCAATTTCATTCACATCGTCTTCCTCATCTTCATTCGGAGTCATGTCTATGTTGTTGAGGAACCCCTCACACTCTCTGGTCTGAGATGCTTTTTCTGGGGAGCAAACCAGAACATCCACCTCTTCTTCTTCCTCCTCCTCTTTTCCCTTTTTGTCTGTACTGGTTATCTTCACGGTCAATGGCTGCAACATGAAGTCCAAAGCTGTGTTTTCTTCAGGCTGGAGGGCGTCACTGTGAGAGGAGCAGTCATCATTGAGGAATGGCGACCCTGTTGTATGGGATTTCCCTGTGCCACACAGAAGGAGACTGTGAGGGTAGCAGGAGCATGTGCGTGCATGTTTGTGTGCAAGCAGAAAGAGGCATACTCACACTTTCCGATGATAAATAACTGATCAATAGTCAGCTGCCTCTATAGCCAGCAGTGAGCTTTTGATGTTAGTGTCTTATCTGCAAACACCGTCAGCAAATAAAACATGTGATCAGCTGCCTTTCAAGTGATTCTGTTCTTGTTCTGCTCTGCAGCCCTGGAGAGCTCAGCACACCAGCATCATCTCAGTCGAGTGGCCACTGAGCTCACAGTGCATCTCCAGACCAAACAAGAACTTTAATCACCAGCTGAAGTCAAAGACAGTGGAGCAGAAGTCCATCCACCTAGACCAGGGGTGTGAAACTCCAGGCCTCAGGTTTTAGATGTGTCCTTGATCCATCACAGCTGATTTAAATGGCTAAATCCCCTCCTCAACATCTCTTTACGTTCTCCAGAGGCCTGGAAATGAACTAATCATTTGATTCAGGTGTGTTGACCCAGAGTGATATCTAAAACCTGCAGGACACTGGACGCTGACCGCCACAAGAGCGACCTGGTCAGGCTGCCACCTTGTCTTGGTCCTCCACGGGAAGGACCAGGGTTGGGTGGTTAGTTTGAAAATAACAGTTAGTAGATGACAGGAACCTGCACAGCCAAATGGAAAGAAAGCTTTATGGCATGCTTTAAATGCTCGAGTGCCATCTCACTGTTGTGACGATAACTGAGGACATAAAAAAGGAAGAAACTAAATAGCAAAAGCAAACGTGGACACATGCCTACAGAGAGAATTTTACAGTGTTTCCTACACAAAACACTGCATTCACTGCATTCCGGTCACAGCAGATGGCCGCCCCTCCCTGAGCCTGGTTCTGCCGGAGGTTTCTTCCTGTTAAAAGGGAGTTTTTCCTTCCCACTGTCGCCAAAGTGCTTGCTCATAGGGGGTCATATGATTGTTGGGTTTTTCTCTGTATCTATGAAGCGCTTTGAGGCGACTTTTGTTGTGATTTGGCGCTATATAAATAAAATTTAATTGAATTCTCATTCCAAGGTAGATTTTTTATTTTAATGTAGTAGATCCACTGAGAAACGAAGGTGCCGTCCAACCAGACTGCAGGACAAACAGCACTTAAGTACATTTTGTTCATGCACTGGATTGTGCAACAGCATGTTTAAAAAAAAATGGCCGTATTAAGGCTGATGTCTGAACAGCTACTGAAATTCTGAGCAGACTTAAAAAAGACAAAAAATATTAAAACGTAAATTTGCTCTATTGCTAGTTTTAAACTGAAATGATATTCAGTTTTTTATTAGTTTTTTCTCTTTTTTATGTCTAAATCTGCATCTACTTTAAGAAACGTTTTTTGGTCTCTTGAAGTGAAACTATGCGGCTTTGCGTCAGCCCACACGGGGGCGACACAAACACCGCGCCTTAGCTCCAACGTGACAGTTCATGGTCTGTGTTTTCACAGTTTACTCCCATCTGCAAGAGAGAAATGGCCTGAAGCCACAGCACACTATGCCAACCCATCCTCGGAGGTGCCTGTATGATTAGCATAGAGCAGAAAAATCAATACTAATCAATACTACCAATGTAATCATTCATTCTGAATAACAACCTTCAAAACAAAATCCAATTAATTTACCATGGCAACAGAAACAGCAAAATTCAAAGTACCTTCATAAGGACTTTCCAGTGGTCGCTCTCGCTCCGGTGTCACCTTGGCTTCATTTTCTTCCACAACGTCTAAGGACACTGGCTGGTCTTCATCACCATCCAAACTCCTCTTCTCGCTCATACGACTGTTTGTCTCTGCAGACGGGCTCAGAAGAAGATTGTGATTTTTATCAACTGCCATGTTTGAACCTTTGTGATGTTCTTCAGAGTTTGTCCCGTCTTTAATGTCCACTCCTTTCTCCAATATGCCATCTGTGCCTTCTGCAGGTTCATGTGTTTCCTGGGTCTGTTTGGACTTCATCCTTCGTGCTTGTTGCCATTTAATAAGCTTCTGAATGTCCTTCAGAGTGACCGTGTGCCGCTGATTCGCTGTCCCGGGTTTTACGTTACAGTCGTTATTGGTTTCTTCAGCCTTTTCCGTGTGCTCGACACTCGCAGTCTTCTTCACTGGGCTGACCTCCACCTCGCTCTCATGCCTCCGTTTTCTGCACGACTTCTCCATTTTTTTCTCCTCCTGCTCCGTTGGCAAGTCCCCGTCGACCTGCGCATTGTCGACATTTTCATTGTTTTCAACAACGGCAGGAACACTTTGTGTAGAGTCCTCTACAGGTCTTATTTTTCGGGGTCTACCACGTTTCCTTTTCACGAGCGAGACGCCATCCTGATTCACAAGCTGCGCTCTGCTGACGACAGGCTTGAAAATGCAAGGCGTTTCAGGTGGGGTTGTGTTATTTGCTGCCTCTTGAGATTTTTTCATAAAGCCCCTGGTCCTGATCCGAGGCGGCTTGGTGCCAAAGGGTTTTTCTTCCCCAATGTCAACGACGGGCAACATTTTGCTGGGTTTCCCTGGAAGTCCAGATGGTGCGTTTGAAGACCTGATAGCCACTTCTCTTTCCTTCAATAGCACATTGTTACTCGACAGCCTCACTGAACAATTCTTTGTTCCATCGCTGACTTTTAAATCTTTGTACGCAGAACAAGAACCGGTGGAGTCTTGTTGATAATTTGTGCGCCTTCTCTTCCTCCCGTCTCCTGTAGCGTCATCATGTCTATATTTGAAACTCTCCTTCAGCCTCCTGGAGTACGATTTTACTTCTGCTGCTGATTTTTTTCCTCTCTTTTTCAAGCTATTCCCTTTGCAACCTTCTGCGCTGGTTCCTCTATTTTTTAGATGCAAATCCTTCTCCTGCTGCTCTTGCTTTGACTGGCAGCTGTGATCTGGATCTGGTGATGGAGATGTACTTTTACGACCTGTGCAAATGATGCTGCTAAAGGGAAACTGCAGTGAACCAGCGTTGTCCGAGAGCCAGGGTCTCCTACGTAAGGATGGCTGCTGCTGGACACCGTGTTCAGGGTTTGCTGAGTTGTTGAGTAGAGGCTGACCTTTAGCTGCAGATGAACTTGGCTCTAATGGGGAGAGACGCTGAGGAAGCCGCAAGTCATCCATGCAAGGTGAGGAAAAAGTGGGTTCAGACTGTGTCCCATTTCCATTTGGCAGAGGCAAAAACTCGAGACTCTGTTGATCATCTTGTGAGGACGGTGGCTGAAATGCTGGGTAATGGAGTTTCTGGCCTCTGGTGAAGAAAGCTGAAGACTGTGAGCCTGTGGGTGTTTCCGGATACAGAGAATTTTGACTTTTGAATGGGGGCAAACTCTGGCAGCTCAATCCATCGATTTGCCATAAAGATCTGACAGCTGAGTTGCACTGGAGAGTCGGCTGCTGCTGGATCAACTTGGGCTGGTTTGGAGCTGCAAAGCAACAATGGATACCTAACGAGCAAGCGGAAGGATGACTATCAATTCATCTTAAAAACGTGAATTGTAAGTCCTGTATTTTTATAGACGTTTTCTGTGACAATCAAAAAATCTAAAGTACCAATTAATAAGCTCCTGAAAACTGAGGAGGAAGGGCAGAAGGACGGGTAGCAGTGAGAGAGCTTGAACT